ATCTTGAAAACAAACGATGGTTTCTTAAGACTTCGCGAGAGCTCGCGCGAAAGCTTTTTTCACAAATCAGTGTTGCGAAAACCTGTGTTTTTGTATGTTTCTTTGGAAACTGGATTGCGAAATCCTTGCGACACCGGAGATTTTTGAAGGATTTCGGGTTTTGACGTGCGCGTGTGCACTTCGTACAAAAGGAACCTCAGGGAGGCCGATCCCGGCCCCTCTGGGATAGTGCAAATTCATTTTTAGGATGGACATGTGGTCTGAATCATATACCATTTACATACCCGAAAAGGGGGACCGATAACGCCAAAGGGGGGGTAGAGTCGATTCTCCTTTTGGAAACAGAGAATCCATGTGGTGCAATCTACGGTGTGAAAGCGTAACAGGCCCTGTGATCAGAGTGGATAAAGGCCAAACGGTCATTCACGGTCTCTGGGTGCGTGGCTGAAGCGGGATTCCACGATGCGGATTATCGTTGTTGTTGTTGGTGGTGTTGTTGTTGGTGGTGGTATTGGTGTTGGTGTTGGTGTCTGTTGTTGTTGTTGCCGATGCTGCTGCTGTTGTTGTTGTTGATGTTGTGTTTATTGTTCATGTTTGTTGTTGTTGTTGTTGTTACTGCTGCTGCTGCTGTTGTTGTTGTTGTTGTTGTTGTTATTGTTGTTATTGTTGTTATTGTTGTTGTTGTTGTTGAACATTATTACTTCTAAAGAATAATTACTGTTGGGACCCCTGGTGCACGACCCCCCCGCCGCGCCTAGGCCGCAGCCTCATTTTGATCACTTTCGTGAGGAAGTCTCAGGCAAAACGGGGGAGTCCGGATCCGGTTGTGTTGTTACGATCGGTTTTCCCTTGAAAAAATAAGCTAAAGTGGACATTTCTTGATCTAACATAACCAAATTTCAAAAATCCCTTGCAAAAAAAAGGTAAAGTGGACATTCGCGCGCGCAAGACGAAATCCTTCCAAAACCTTAGTTTTCGTAGCGATTTTAACATAAAAACATAAAAAAAATGGTTTTTCAAAAAAATGTCAAAATTTCATCCCGCGCGCTCTTGCGGATTCGTAGGAAACCCAACACTTTTTAAACATTTCTGTCAAACGGGCTTTTGCGAGCAACTTTTTCGAACTTCTGCAACAACGGTTGCGCACCTGCCAGGGCCATCATCCCTGTCAAATAATACCATGCGGGACACATTCGTTTTTTCTTCGCGCGCGCACGCCGTCGTCGTCGGCCGCGGGGCCCTGAATAGTAGCCACGGTCGTCCGCATGCCACGAAGTGAAGTGTCCGAACGTCATAGGGCGGGAAGCTGGGTGTGGGTGGTGGCGAAGAGTCGTTTGGAAATTTGGTAGAGCTTGAACCGGCCCCCCCACAAAGTGGGGGTATTGCCCGCCTCCTATGAAAACCCTGGCACTGGTGAGAACGGAGTGTCCCCACGTGCTAGTAATTGTTGTTGTTGTTGTTGTTGAACATTATTTCTTCTAAAGAATAATTATTGTTGGGGCCCCTGGTGCGCGCCCCCCCCGCCGCGCCTAGGCCGCAGCCACATTTTCATCATTTTCGTGAGGAAGTCTCAGGCAAAACGTGGGTGTCCGGATCCGGTTGTGTTGTTGCGATCGGTTTTCCCTTGCAAAAAAACAAGGCAAAGTGGACATTTCTCGTTCTAACATGATCAAACTTCAAGAATCCGTTGCAAAAAATGACACGAAGTGCACATTCGCGCGCGCAAGACGAAATCCTTCCAAAACCTTAGTCTTCGTAACGATTTTCACATAAAAACATGAAAAACCAAATGGTTTTTCAAAAAAAGGGTTTCAAAAATTCACCCCGTGCGCTCTTGCGGATTTCTTAGGAAACCCGATACTTTTTCAACATTGCTGTCAAACGGGCTCTTACGAGCAACTTTTTCACGTGCTTCGAACTTCTGCAACAAAGGTTGCGCGCCTGCCAGGGCCATCATCCCTGTCAAATAATACCATGTGGGACACATTCGTTTTTTCTTCGCGCGCGCACGCCGAAATCTTCAAAAACATTGGGTTTCTTAGGAATTTTTGCACCGCGCAACATAAAATCATACGAATCGCACCGTGGGTTCTCGAAAAACATCTGTACGAATTTTCAAAATTTCTACCCGCGCGCGCTGTCCGAATCCTTAAAAACCAATGGTTTTTCAACATTTATGTTATAGAGCTCGCGCGAGAACAGGCATGAATGTCTTCGCTTGTGTGGTACAGAAACGGAAAAACGTCGGAAAACGGTGCAGGTGTCCAGTGTTGGAACAGGGGGAAAAGTCGTATGCTAAGCTAGCTTCCACAAAACGTTACCACAACAAGCCACTGTACCCATGCGCCAGTGTAGTAGCCAAGGTCGTCCGCAGGCCACGAAGTGAAGTGTCCGAACGTCATAGGGCGGGAAGCTGGGTGTGGGTGGTGGCGAAGAGTCGTTTGGAAACTTGGTAGAGCTTGAACCGGCCCCCCCACAAAGTGGGGGCATTGCCCGCCTCCTATGAAAACCCTGGCACTGGTGAGAACGGAGTGTCCCCAGTCTTAAATGATTGTTGTTGTTGTTGTTGTTGTTGTTGTTGTTTGGCGTCGTTCCCCCAGCAACCCGCCCCGCGACCCACCCCGCGACGTGGCCCGCGACCCCCCCGCGATTCCGGCCCGCGATTCCCGTCCGGCGACCCGGCCCACGACCCACCCGCGATTCCGGCCCGCGATTCCGGCCCGCGACCCACACGCGACCCACCCGCGACCCGTCCCGCGACCAGGCCCGCAACCCGGCCCGCGACCAACCCCCGCGACCCTGCCAGCGACCCACCCGCGACCCACCCGCGATCCACACCGCGACCCGCCCGCGACTCACCACGCGAACCACCCGCGACCCAGCCCGCGACCCACCCGCGACCCACCCGCGACCGGGCCCGCGACCCACCCGCGACACACACCCGACCCACCCCGCGACCCGCCCGCGACCCACCCACGATCCATCCGCGATCCACCCGCGACCCACCCGCGACCAACCCGCGACCCGGCCCGCGACCCACCCGCGACCCACCAGCGACCCACCCCGCGACCCACCCACATTGCTTGAACGAAAAAACGGCGCCTGCGGCGGTCCCGCGTGCTGCAGTTTTTTTTTGTTTTAAAGAGCCCCGCAGACTGCCGACGTCCCCGCCGCCCCTTCACTCTCATCCGTGACTCCATGGTACTACGGTATCATCTAAATTGTGATATATATGTTGTGCACTCTATGTTGTTCAATACGCGTGGTGCACTCCACGTGGCGCAATTGATTTTTACAACCGATTTGACACATTCCATGCTCGTACAAAAACCCCACCCACCCACCCGCAACTTGCTTTCCACAACCTACGCAGCGGCGATTGCGATGAATGCTTGGCGTTGGCTGGCGCTTCTCTGCGGCCGCGCCGACCCAAGCACGCGCGCAGCGGCCAGCTAGTTTGGCGCGACCGACGCGGCCGCGGTGGCGCTGACCGTTGGGGCCATCCCAGCGGGCACTTCAGTGCGAGTCGGCGACGTGGTCGGGCGAGGTATCATCGCAACGTCGAAAAAAAAAGGTAGGCGCGATGATGATAGTAGCGATGCTGGTGGCGATGTTGACAACGACGACGGCGCGGCCAGTGACGGTGTTGGTGCTGATCAAGCCGACGACGATGACGGCGTCCTCGCGTCGGTGATGCAGGTTTTGGAAAGAGTTCGACATGCGCGCGTGGCCGACGCGCAAGTGGTCCGCATGGTGTTATTTGACACGGACCGTGCCCCCCCAGCACGCGCGCAAAGGCGCGCGAATGACGTCGGCATGCGGCGCCGGAGACCCGCTTGGCAGTATTCCATGAACCTGTTTTTTTCTCCTGCGCCACGGCAATGCGCAGAAGAAATCAGAAAACGGCGCCGTCGCGCGCGCGCTCCCCCCACGCAGACCAGCCTCGGACGAACCGGCAACTGGCTGCTAAGGGGGGCGGCGCAGAAGAGCTCAAGCAACGGCGGGCTGGGGGGCTCTCAGGCTTCTTGGAGTCCCTGCGCAAGGCGGTCGACACTCCTTGGTCGAGCAGTCCGCACTCCGCCGCGGCAAGGGGGGGGTTGACCATCCGAAGAGAGCTCCCACCTGCCGCGCGGGGCGCCGTGCACCCGCGGCGGCAGCGCTCGCCTTCTCGGGGCCCCCTCCCTCGCCAGACGGCGAGTGACCCAAACACTTGCATCGCGCCAAACGTCTGCGAGCGCTGGGCGGCGGCGGGCCAGCGCACGCAGACGGGCTTCAAACACCTGTTCAGCAGCGGCAGAGCGCCCAACTCGACGGGCGTTCAGGGCCGCAAGAAAGGCTTCCATGCAGGAAGCACGACGGAGGAGACCAGCAACATCGTCAAGTGCGAGGAGGAGGCAAAAGGAAAACCAATGGAATGAGCGCTCACCTTGATAGACCCGAGTATGTCTCCCCATCCATCTCCTGAGAAGTGATTCCAGCTTCGGACAAGAAGAAAAATGGCGAAGTGAATCGTTGTCGACTCCGTCGACGGTCTGGCACCCGAATAGACGCCCTTTTGGGGTTGAGTGAAATCGGGAGCTCGCGCAGATAGATCCAGTCAGCAACCGAAAGGGAGCCATGCCAACATACATACTCGTTGCTTTGCACACTCTTTTCATGTTCTCTTTCAGGATGACGATATGATCACGGGCGACCTCAGGGCAAAAGTGGTGGGCACGCCGAAGGAGGATGGACTCGATGCTCTCACTGGTCTCTAGCTCTCGAAACGCCCGATAGAGTCGATGTTGTAACTTGCTCGAAGAGGAAGGGATGTCAAGGGAGAGCCCGCAATACCACATTTTGACCGCCCTCAAATATCCCAAGAGGCCTTCAGCATGCCATCCACGAAGCCACCTATACGGATTGTGTTCGACGTCTGAACGAGAGGCCTCCAGCGAATCCAGAAGCCCAAAGATCCACCCAGATCTCAAGAGATACCGAAGGGCAGTGGCTTTCGCGACCGCGTCGAGCTCCAGGAATTCAGTGGCGAATCCGATGCGGGTAAGTTTCGTGGCGACGTTGTAGGAGATGGCGTTCCTGGGCCCCGAGGTGAGGAGGAGCACTCCGTTGCGGTAGGCGGACACCAGCTCCTGGGAGGGCGGGTAGAGCTGAAGCCTGAACAAGAGCTTGCTAACACACATAACCTGAAAGGCAGCCACGGACTGAGCAATTCCCAATCCCAACGCACGTGTCTGGTGAATCCTCTCAACAAAGCTGGGGAGGATGGGGGGCCATACCTGCGCGGCGCCCTCGGGGCCGATCGGGAAGCCAAGGTAGGCGGCGGAGAGGGAGACCTGAATGAGGTTGTAGGGCGCGCCAAAGGAGCGGAGGAGGGAGCGGATGGGTGATGTGTCCATAGCCCCGCAGACGACCACCTGGCACTTCCGAAAGTTCAGCCGAAAGTTGGCAACCGCCGCCAATGCTTCCAAGCTGTCAAGAAGCGCTTTGAGTGATGAGGCGATTCGCTCAACTCCAAATTCGAAGTCATCGGCATATGCAAGAGACAGTCCCAGCGCTGAGCCGAGGGACGCCCTAATCCATGCCAACAGAGGGTTCACGGCGAGAACGAAGAGGAACATGGAGGCGGGGCAGACTTGTTTGACCCCAGACGCGATACGAATAAGCCCATGACGACGACCACGAAGTGAGAGGATAGCGGTGTTATCGGAGTACACCATTCGGAAGAAGTGGACGAGCGGGGAAGGAATGCCCATGGCCTCAAGCACGAAGAAAAGCCACTCCTGCGCCCGGCTAGGAAACGCTGACGCGAAGTCAGTCAACAGTAAAGCCGCGTCTGAAGATGCCGACATGTATTTCTCCACCCCCCAAGCCTCCGCCCTCGCCACGTTCTCAATCATGTCCCTCCCGCTGACGCACTTCTGTTCAGCCCCTATCAGGCTAGCAGAGTTCGCGGCAATGGGCATGACGCAGGCGGCGGCTAGGATCTTAACATCCGTGTTGCCCAGGCAGATGGGTCTGGTGGCAGCCGCCTGTCGGTGCAGCGGGTGGCCTGGGCAGTCATCCTGCAGGGCACCTTTAGGAAGAAATGCAAGCAAGCTGCAGAGCATGTCAGTCGGGAGAGAGGAGATGCGGTCATCGAAGAGGGTGAGGTAGCACGAGTATAAAATACGAGCCGCACACGGTTGCTTCCACACGGCATACGGTAGTCCATCAGGACCAGGGGTGCTGTGCCCACGAGTCCGAACCATCTCAAACCATACAGCATAGGGAAGGCACCAGTCGACCGAAAGCGGGGCCTGTACGGTGCGAATATGGGTGGCAATCGAATTCCACTGGGAGCGATCGACGGTGGGGGGCGGCAAACTGTTGCTCCCAGAAGGCCCCGAGAGAAGCGGCGGCCTCCGAGTCGGACGATGCGTGGACTCCGTCCACCGAGATGATATTCCCCAGGACCGTCCGCTTCCGAAACTTTTGCCAGATGAGCCGCCGCCGACGTAACCGAGCCATCGCCGACCTTTTCACCGAAGCATCCGCTGAGCTCCTCCTAATATCGCCTTCCTCCTCCTCCAGAATTTGCCTGTATATGCAGAATATATGCTGCGATAACCTCTCGAAGTGAATGCACCGATCGAGCTCATCGAAGTGGGTCCGAAGCCGAGGATAACATTCGAGAGCGAGTCGAGTCCCCTCTTGGTCACCGCGTATCACGGCACGCATCGCTGGGATAGCCCAATAGCGCTTCTCCTGTCTCGTGCGGGCAAGCCGACGCCGCAGAGCAAGACGGGCCGATCGGCCAGCTTCAAACATCATAGACTTGGCAAACTCCAGACGGGCCCACTCGCCCCAGGCGGCGGGGATGGTAGCAATCACCTCCTCAAGGGCCTGTCCGAACTCAGGGGTCTCGGCAAGCCGTGCGGGGATGCAGGGGCCCCTGGGGTCGGGAGAGTACCTTGTGATAGTAGAACGAACGGGCAGGTGGTCGCTGCTCATCACCGCTTTCAGCTTCCCAACGACAGCGGTGGAGATGGTGAGATCACGGATAAGGGCAGCGGGAAGGGAGGTGTAGATCCGATCTAACCGCGAGGTCGAAGCGACGGCGGACCCTTTCTTCCCTCTGCGGGTGTCGGCGGGCTGAAACAGTTCAGTGAGATGAAGAAGAAGACGGCGAAAGTGTCGTGAGCGCCCAGCGTCGCCGGCAGAGATACCACTCCCGTCCCCGTTGAGCCCCCCCTCCTCCTCTAAGACAAAATTCCAGCCCCCCATGAGCAGGATGCGTGCGCCTACGACGGCGTCCTCCCCCAGGTGTAACAGAACGTCGCGTTGCAGCACGCCGAGCACTCCAGCAAAAAGAGGGAACGCATCAGAAGTATTCGGGCGATGAAGATTGTATACGATCAGATTCCCATAATCCCCAATCAACGTCGATTTGATCATCCTCCCTGTGACCAAAGTAGAATGAGAAACGGAAGAGAAGAGATGAACGAGAGCAAGACTGAGAGCGGTGACAACCCCTCCTTCCCGAGAGGAGTCTTCAAAGAAAGAATATCCGAATCGGAAGCCAGGCAGGCTGTGTTCCAACTCAGCAATATCCCCGATATGTCCATGTGTTTCTTGCACGGTAATGATGTCATTGGAGTTGCAGAGCGATAGGTAACGGTGGTAACGGTCCCGAGCACGCCAGGAGTTCGTTTTCACAGTGGTGAAGAGGGCGCCAGTGCTCCATGTACAGAGGGCGAGGGGGGGGGGGGGGAGGAAGAGGGAGGGGGCGCAAGAGGGGGGGGGGGGCCTGAGTTGGAAAACGGCATGCCACCGTCTTAAAAGGGCCTACGGAGCGCCACCGCCCCTGCAGCCTCGACGCGCTCGATGTGTTCGACGATTCCAAATTCAAGGAAAACATCTCTGGCGCAGCGGATCTCGATATTCGACTCTCCAGAAACTATCACTTTGACTGCCTGTACGGGCTCGTGGGCCCGCCGCAACAAGAAAACTGAGCCGCCGAGTCCTGTGCTGCCTACCTCAACTCCTTTCGGTGCAAGGAGGGCAGTGAGCGCAGCTCGGATCCTCCCGAGGGAGAGGAACAGCTGCCGCGAGATGGGGTTGGGATCACGACGGAGGCGGAGTGAAAGGGGCGGGGCGCCTTCTGCAGGGTCAGGCACACTCCATGCGCCCCCTGCTCTGATGAAATTGTCTAAGAAAGTGCTGGCCCCTAGCGCCGTCTCAAAGAGGAGTGCCACCTTCTTCGAAAGATCAACGCCGCGGGCAAGAATCCTTGCCTGCTGTGCTTCTGGGGAGACTTGCCTGATGCACGCGTTGCCAATCTCACGAAGATCTTTGGCAAGGAGGGGCCTAGGAAAGCCAAGCAGGACCAATTTGCATGTATCCTGCTGCGGTTGGTCGGGCGGGCTCGGGCGCGAGCTGCCCCTGGCACTCGAGGCACTGGGGGACCGGGGGGGGGAGGTCGGGGTCGGGGTGGAGAGCGACTCGCACAGTCGAGTCTCTGAGATGCGCTGACGATCGGCCAGGTCGGCCAGTTGTCGCTCTATGCTTTCGCACTTCTCACTAAGCGAGGGGCAGGTCATGGCGGCGTCACCTGCGTTCCCAGCTAAGAGCTCGGTGCGGAGGGCATTCAACTTCGCGCCCTGCACGGAGATGACGTCCTTCAACTCAGTGTCGAGCATCTGGTGCTTGGACTGTACGTCGCGATCGAGTAGCTTCATCTGGTCAGCGAGCTCCCCGCATCGTTTGAGACTTCCCTGCACGGCACCTCGAAGTTCGGCCAGCTCTGTTGCGTTCTGCGAGACCACCTGGTTCATGCTAGCAGTGCTGTAGGCGATCGAGTCGAGCTGGGAGGTGATCCGAGACTGATCTTCGCCGTCGGAGCGGCGGGCGTCGGGCGTCCTGCTGGCGCTCCTTCGTGGAGCAGATGAAGGCGATGAATATCGTGCAGGGCCGCGCCGCTCAGATCGCCGCTTCCCCATGGCAGCAGTCTGGGCGAGGTGAAGAGCACGGTGGACTGGGAGGGATCTCCGCAAAATGCGGATGGAAGGCACGGGCGCTGAAGCTCGCGTGCCGCGAGGCCTGTCCTCGCAAGAAGGTCGCCCTGAGCCGTCCCATCGGCAGCGACCAAGCTCGAAGCGCCAGGGAAGCGCTTCGAACTTGAGCCAAAATGGCTACGGAAGAATTCCATGAACATGTTGAAAAGTTGATGATGTTCTGCAGATTTCGCAAGAGCGCGAACGCGCGATTTTTTAGAAACTGACGTTGCGAATCCATGTTTTTAACATGTTTTGAACAGCATTGACACTCGGTTTTGAAATCGCTACGAAACCAAACGTTTTTTCAAGGATTGCGGCACGCGCGCGCGACGACGCGCGCGCGTGCATTTCGTCCCGTGTCTGTTGCAAGGAATTCTCGCGACGGCACGCGCGCAAAGGCGTCCGAACGATTTCGACATGCGCGCGCGAAGCCCCTTTGGTAGCATGTTCTGAACATGGTGAAACCACCATGGGTTTGCTTACGACTTCGCATGAGCGCGCGCAATCTTCTTGCGAAGCCATATTGTTTGCGTGTTCTTTCGGCACTCGGTTTTGAAACCCTTAAGACACCAAAGGTTTCTCAATACTTTGGGCATGCGCGCGCGACGACGCGCGCGCGCACTCCGTCCCCTCTTTGCCAAGGGAGTTTTGAAAACTGCTGATTTGTGATAAACGAATGCGCCAGCATAGCGTTTTTTTGCGTTGGATGGCGGGGGGGGGGCGGAGACCGGCTCGGCTGAGATGGTATGAGTGTAACTTTGGGATGCACGATGAGGCAGAATCATATGCACATTGCATTACGCAAAGAAGAACGGATAATCCGGGGGGGCAAATATTCGATCCTCTTTCAAGGGGGAAGCTCTAAAGGGCACGCAACAGATGTGGTGCAACCCGCGTGGGGCAAGATTTGTGGTGCAACCTATGTTTGGCCATATATATCTATGTGGTGCAATTGACGTGTTGCAATCTATGTGGTGGGACCGATTCATGAAGCAATCTATGTGGTGCAACGTATGTGATGCACTCTATGTGGTGCAACCCACTTCGACTGTCTTGAAGCTGTCCTCTCCACTGCTCGTGCAAACATCCCACCCTCCCACCCGCAAGTTGGTCGCAAGACATCTTCATACAAGACCGTGACGGTAGGTACTGCGTGGCACTTGACCACGACACCGATGCCGACGACGACAGCGACATCGACGACGACGGCGCCGCCGACAGCGACTGCGACGACACCGACGACGTCTCCAATGTTTTCGACGACGACGACGACGACGACACCGACGACGACGACAACGACGCCGACGACGACGACGAAGACGACGACGACGTCGCCAACGGAGACGACGACGAGGGAGGAGAAAAAACGACGACGGCGACAACGACGACAACGACGATGGAGGAGGGAAGACGGCGACGACGCCAACGACGAAGAAGGAGGAAGGACGGCGACGCCGACGACGACAACGACGAGGGAGGAGGGAAGACGACGACGATGACAACGACGACGAAGACGACGACGACGGCGACGAAATAGGAAGGACGACGACGAGACGCCGACGACGGACGACGACGACGAGGGAGGAAGATAACGACGAGGGGGGAGTGAAGACCACGACGACGACGACGACGACGACGGCGACGAAATAGGAGGGACAACGACGAGACGCCGACGAAGACAACGAGGGAGGAAGGACGACCACGGCGACAACGACGACGGAAACGACGACGACGCCAAAGACGACGAGGAAAGACAGAAGACGACGACGGCGACGACGACGACGACGAGGGAGGAGGGAGGACGACGACGACGACGACGACGCAAGAGCGCGCGCGCGCAATTTTGTTGAAAACCAGTGTTGCGAAACCTTGTGTTTTTGTAAGTTTTTTGGACGCACGATTTCGACATTCTTCCGAAACCATAGGTTTTTGAAGGATTTCGGCATACGCCCGCGACGACGCGCGCGTCTGCACTTCGTCCCGTTTTTTGCAAA